TGTTTTATCAAATCGGAAGAATCCAGCTTGTAAACATTCATAATATAATGAGTGTGCTACCTATATCTTCTTCCCTCGAATACAACCCACGGTCATTATATAGCTGTATTTCCCCCCCCCCTTCTCTCCGCTTAATACGCGATCCAGTCAGCGAAGCTTGGCGCCATGCAGGTCGAGGATTCCGAAGCGAAATCAGAAAACCCTAAACCCTATATAAGCTGAGATCCTGTAAGGTTCTGGTTCTGTGCGCTTTTTTTTTTTATAGGGAGAATTGAATTGTACGCCAGCACCTCTAGCATCACCAGGGGAGTGGTAAAAAAAAAAGAAAAAAAAGAATTGTGCGAGAATTAAAGTGTGCGGTGAGGTCCTGTTGAGGTTGGGGTCGCTTGTTTTCGTCTAGGGTGTGTTGACAAGGAAGCTGGACGGGGTTGTTTTCGTCTCGGGGTGCTTGGTTCCTCAGGCTAAGTCGTCGATGTACCAGAGGTTGAAACTCGTACGAAGATCGATGGTGAAAATCGTGGACATCAGTTAAAATTGGAAGCTGGAACGATACACAGAAAGAGAAGTTTAGATTAGCGTGGCCCCTCCTCCCTGCGCAAGGAGGGCACGCATAAATCGAAAATCGTGACGATCAAAAAAAGAATGAGAGCTCTACTTGCGTACGGTAGTAACGGTACGACTGAGGGTGCCCTCCCTCTCGAGAGGGTTTTGGTGGATCGTAGATGGAATCTCCGAGGAAACCCCACCGGTAGTGGGAGGCACTGGGAGCATGCCGTCAGCCCTCTGAAGGGGGGCCGTCGTTCTAGGTGTTGTACTATTCAGCTGCAACGGAAATGCCACCTCAAACAATTCGATACGCCGGTTCATTTTCAACGACCCGTCGAAAGTTGCCGTCCATCAAGATTAGCCTGTCACTTATATAGGCCTATGCTTTGGGAGTCACGCGCTGATTGGCGACAAGGGAGGGAGAATTGTGAAGCAGCCAAACCTGGGGGAAGCGAGGTGTGTGTGCGAGAACTGCCGCCTCCGTGTGGTGTTGTGTGTGGTGTGTGTTGAGTTGGACACTACAGCTTTCACGTTGCAGCGGTCGGGGGGATATATAAGTGTCGACTTGGTTCCACTTTCGACCATCATGTGCTGGCCGAAGTGGTGAAGAGACTGGGCTTTCGAGGCTGAGGTCAACGGTTCGACTCCGTCCAAGCACACGGAGGAGGTATTAGGCATCAGAAGTACGGATGCGTAAGTAGTACTAGTACTAGTCTTGGAAATACTTGAGAGCAGCTATCACAATCCCAATCCGTATTTTTGGTGTTCTGGTTTACGGTTTGGTGCTCTGTCCATTGCAGCGAGAAGGACATTCAACGGCTGGCAAATCGGATTCATAAGTAAGAGGACGTGGCTCTTGCGACTCGACGACGAGTTGTTACTGAACTATAATTAGTCGTGAATGGTGGTTGGTCGGATTCACTGAGTCGTTGATTAACTACTTGATTGACGGGTTGATTGGCCGTCCGTTTGGAGTGGGCGTTCGGTTAATTGATTGATTGATTGATTGATTTTGACAGGTTTCTTGTTTAATTGGGTTGATTGGTTGATTTTAAAGGGGTAGCGAGCACGCTGTAGACAGCGGGCCAGCTGCTGACGCGGTCAGAACCAATCACACCCGATTATAAACAGCGTGTTCGCTAGTACCCCTTTTAAAATCAACCAGCAGGAGGCCGGCCGGCTGTCGACAGTCTCTGCCTTAGTCATCATCCATCCATCGGATGGGAAAACTACGTGGCAGACAGAAAAGAACAGTTTGAAATTGCACTTCAGGCATTCGGCCTGAAAGTGTCGAACGTATATACAAGCTAGCTTTCGGGTCTGGTACCGTCAAGAGGGGCCCCGTGCTATGTTCGGGGGCATGGCTGAAGTGCAAGTTGGTACTGTTTTCAAAAGCTAGCTTTCCGGTCCGGTACCGTCAAGAGGGGGGGTGTTATGCTTGGGGGCATGGCTAAGTGCAATTTCGTACTGTGTTTGAGACTGCTGCGCAGTTTCTCCTTCTACTCTATATAAGGTGTCCTCTTCTCACCAGTCCCACACAGTGCCACACACTCAGGGGTATAGTGAAATCTGAGCGACCATGTGAGTCCTCAGTCCTTATCCATCAGTCGACTGCATTGTGGGCATACTCTCGGGGAGTCTCGGGACTCAACCTCATGCAGAGAGAACAGTCTCGCACAGTCGTGTTTTTTTTTTTCCCTTCTTAAATAACGGCGGATGTGGCATTTTTTGGCAACAAAAACTCGCGCCTGCAAAGAGTTCATTGTCAATCAAACAATCCTTTTTTCACCCCGAGCCCCCCCCCAAAAAAGAGTTCCTTGTGTTTCTTCTTTTTTGGGTCTGGGGAGTGCCCCCTGACACCAACACCCCTAGCCCCCGGTCAGTTTTGCAACCACCCCCCGGAAGGCCCCGAAAAAGCGACGGACGGCCGTACGTACGGGCCGAACACCCACCCAGGAGGCCGTTCGTATGGCCGTCCGATACGTACGAACAGGCTGCA